CTTTTGTGGAATCTCCCATTTAACGCTGCAACCCAAAGATCGGTATTTTGGCAAGCTTGAGTTCGTGTTTCAATTATTTTGAGATCAATTGAATATTTTGGATTCTGATAGAGTAAAATTGTACATAACAAAAATTATCAACATTGGCACCCTGTATCCGGCTAGTCCACATATAATGGTAACCCCCATTATTAAGTATTTTGGTGCCTTTGGTGCCAACAAACTAGCTCTAACTTGATTTCTTAGGTTCTTGTGGGGTATCAAATTCAGTAGAACATCTCATTGAGTTTCCGATTAGTTCTCATATAATGGTTCACCGGTATTTTGGGGGTTTGGGCATGTTTTTTTTTTAAATTCGTTAGGGCATCAAATCTTCCTCATAAATATTATTTGGTATAGGTCCCATAGTCCCCATATAAATGGAATTTTGAATAAACATCACGTTGTGGAGGGTATAAAAAGTTCGACCGGCCGAACTTAACGGCGTTTTTATTTGCTTATATTAAAAGAGTTGAGTGATTTGTTACATGTTTTGGGGTTGTATTCCACCATAGCATGGGGAATATTCATTATTCGAAATTATCAGTTTGTATCCTACAAAGAATGGAATTCTAAGTCGATTTAGCCATATGCAGTAATCATTCTACCTTAGTGGGTTATCGAGATAAAAAAACTCGAACCTGACTACAATGAAATATATCGGCCCGCATTTGGGACTGGCCCAACCAGATTTTAGGTTTTGCATGAAGCATATTTAGCATGAAGTTACTTTTTGAGATACAAAATTAAATTTTTAATCAAGTTGACTATATCGGGTTTTAACTGCTAAAAATAGCCGTTATCTCAGTGAATTTCTATATATTTTTATCAACGATATTTCAGATTTAACGTTTATCAAGTCGGTTATATAAATTAAATTTACAAGATTATATAATATTGACTCTTTTTGGGGGAGGAGAGGGCAGATGGCTGTCAACGTCGGACATGATCTAGGCTTCGTAAAAATAATACGTTGTGCAAAGTTTGGTTCAAATCGGACATTCCATCCGCCTTATTTTGGATGTATAACTATTGAAAATTTTGACCCTTTGTGGGTGAGGTACCAGAAGGAGTGGACCAAACTTTATATAGGCTTGATTAAGATAATAAATAGGCTGTACAAAATTTGATTCCAATCGTTCGCATGACATTATAAAAAATATCTTTTTTGCACAATTTTTACCATTCTGTGTGAGAGGTACCAGAAGGAGTGGACCGATATTGTCCATCTTCGAACTTAAACTACGTTTGGAAGAAAAAATAAAATGTGCAAAGTGTGGATGAATTCGCATGACATTATAAAAAATATCTTTTTTGCACAATTTTTACCATTCTGTGTGAGAGGTACCAGAAGGAGTGGACCGATATTGTCCATCTTCGAACTTAAACTACGTTTGGAAGAAAAAATAAAATGTGCAAAGTGTGGATGAATTCGATTATTCCTTTCGAGAGTTATCGTGCGCACCAACCGGCCTGACGGACAACGGATGGACATTTGTAAATCGACTACAAAACTTTCTGAAACGGATTTGTTCCAAGGAAACATGGGGTCTAAAACCAATATTTCGCTGAGGCACATCTTCACTGTAACAAAGTGTATATCCATCATTCTGTTGAAAATATTTCCCAAAATCCCCAAATTTGCAAATAATGGAGCGTACTTTTATATGGGGGGCAAGCCGGAAACATGGGTCAATATTGATAATTTATGGTTGGGAGATTCCTTCTACTCATTTAGAATCCGAAATAGCAATATTAATAATAAATATTAATAATTTTGTAGTTCAAAGGCGTCATCTCTATATTTTCAATATTCTGATTATAAATATTGTAAATATTCTTAAGTTGCAGTAAATATATCTATTTAATATCAATCTTCAAAATAAAACAAACATATTTACATATTTTCTCAGAAAGCCAATGTAAACATACATAAAAGATTTGTACATAAATATGAATGTAGGCGGAATACAACATAAACGTAAGTAATATCCTTTCTGGCTTTTACTAAAGTAATCCAATGCAATCTTATATATATATATATATATATATCGTATATAAAATCTCAGAGACAATTTCTCAATTTATTCTGCAAAATTGAATCCTTTTGTTGCCATCTATGTCATGTCATGCATGAAAGTAAACCGTAACTATATAACGACCCAACACACAGTCAGCCAGACGATATCCTTGTGTTTGTTTGTATTGGTCAGTTGGTAGGAATAAAATGGTCATTGCAATCTACATATAAAGATAGTCAATATCTGTGGAAACGTAATTTGTTAAATTTCCAGAACAGAGTACAGATTTTATGACAGGTATCAAATGTCATTTAGTACACAAATGAATACCTTTGTGAATGAAGAATCTTAAATGACTGTCATTAAAAGAAATTTATTGTTAAAAATACACAATTTCAAGGATATAAGGATATTATTTTATTTTTTTTTATAAAAAATAAGAATTGTTTTACTGCACTGATCATGAATGGTATATGCTATGTCATTTGACAATTTGAAGAGTATCTTTTGTTTTAATGTTTTGATTTTTGGCACATCAGATGCAAGAATGTATCCGACAGCATCAGGAATATTACACTTTGAATTACATCCTCATGTTGGAGGGTATAAAAAGTTTGGCTGGACTGAACATAACATCGGTTTTACTTGTTCAAGCTCTCATGAGGTCTCAAATTTCCCTACCAATAATTATGAACATTGGTTAACCTTTAACCGATATATCCCTGCAGATATGGTTGTATTTTGTTATAAAGGTATGTATGTATGAATGTTTTAAGGATGACATATATACAACTACTATCGGACAAAATAAAGTGCAAACAAACTGCAACTATAGTATTCCCTAATTTTTTTCCTCTTATCAAAAGCAAATTTTCTTTTGTTGTGATTATTATAACAGTACTCTCCTCACGTCTTTTTCTCAAAACAAAAATCCCGCTAACTCAATGTGGTGAGTGTCTGTAGTTCACAGGTGACAGTTCGATTTTACAAGTGACAAAATAAAGTGCATATTGTAGTAATTAGAAGAAATTTATAAAAAAATGTCGTTTAAATTTATGTAGTAAGATCAATAATATTCTCTTGGGCATATGCAAAATGTGTCGGCAAGTATGTAATAGCAAAAAAATAATAAAAATAAATCGCTATTTCCAGAAATTTAAAAAAAAATCATGAGACCTTTTTCGAAGGACATAAGGGACCTACTGGTCCACGATCGATCAGAATGCATGACTTATGATAATTTATCAAAAACTATAAAATTTAGGTATCAGGTGCAAAAAAATATATGAAATATATAAAAGTGTTGGATCTAATGATAGCTTTAAATATCTTTGTGGAAGGAGGCGCGGTACCTCTAAACTGGACGACGACCACATTGCAATAGAAGTGAAGAAAAATCCATCAGTATCCTGTAGAATTAAACTGGATGACGATCACATTGCAATAGAAGTGAAGAAAAATCCATCAGGATCCTGTAGAATTATAAAAGAAGATTTAAATTTGAGGGTGTCATCAAGAACGGTTCAGAGAAGAATTAATGAAAGGGGTATGAGAAGCTTCTTCGCAAAGAAAAAAACCACTGCGCGTCGCAAATATAAAAATAGACTTTTGTTCGCCAAAAAGTACATAAATATTCCAGAAACATTTTGGGTTAGAGTTATTTGGACAGACGAATCCAAATTTGAATTGAAGTATGAAAAAAGGAGGAAGCGGGTATTGTGCGAACCCTCAGAAAGGCTGAGGCCGAAGAATCTTATTCATACAGTTAAACAGTTAAAATACTACGTAAAGATTTTGAGTGAAAATATCATAGAAGGTGCACGAGAAATGCAATTGGGATCGTTTATTTTTCAGCAGGATAACGATCCTAAACATACTAGCCGAGCGGCAAAACAATTTTCAAGAAAAACCTATGGAAGTTATGGAATGAATCCCTCAGAGCCAAGATTTTAACCCCATCGAACATCTATGGGCCATTTTATATGCCAAAATACCGATGGAATCGCGTACAAACTTTACAACATTCTGGGAAGCAATGCAAGGAGAACGGAAAAAATTCCGAATAACACTTTAAAAAATGTCGTCCGAAGTATGCCAAATCGGCTTAAAGCTGTGATAGAAAACAAAATATATTTTATATTTTTATTAAAACAAAAAATTAATTTACACTTTATTTTGTCTAACTCTATGATTTTTCTGTTTCTGAATGAACTACCAAAAATCGTTTTATATTTTTTATCTACTATACACTGCGACTTAAATAAATGTGGTTTAATTAGAAATTATAAAAACAAAAAACAAATTCATGTATTAACATATATTTTCGTATTTTGCTCTTTATTTTGTCCGATAGTGTACGTACAAGTTGAGATGAAAAAACTGCAACCAACTTCAGACTGCTGTCATTTCATTTCTAAGTCACTCATCCGACAGCTGTTAAAATTATTTGATTGACAGCTCCATGGCCTATAAATAAGGTCACCAAGGTAGACCAGCTGATAATCGATACCTCTCAAGTTTGCTGTCAAAATGCATTACTGTGAATTGGCTTCCATTATGAAAACGTAAACAAAGTTGAAATTTTTGATATTAGACTTGAGAAAAAACAGCTGTTTTCCCATTTCGATTGCTATCTTGGTGGCCTTATTAATAGATCTTGGACAGCTCATTATATTGTACGCTTGTACCAAAGCATTTTGGTGAGAATTTTCCAGAAAAAAGTTATTCGTGATGAAATTCAAGCGTCATAGTGTGATTTCTTTATATTTGGCTGGAAAACCACAAGTGACCATCGTTAGAGCATTCCAGTATTTAAATGTAAATAAATCTTTTGTGTCTCGTACCATAGATCGTTATCGTGAAACTGGTAGCGTAGCCCGACGTTAAGGAAGTGGACGGAATTTGTTCGAAAAGTGAAATAGCGACGGAACATATCGCAATATTCCATTCGGCAGATATTGAAAAACGAAATTGCAAAAAGTGCAAGAACTTACACGGTAACAGAAAGAAAATAGACTCAAAAGAGCTGAAGAGTTTCTTCGCTTGGCTGATGTGAAAACATTCCTTGTCCAGCAAACAAACAAAATGATCGTGTTTACTTGTCAAATAGGTCAGTTGAAAATGTACAGCTTTGTACAGTTGGCCACCAGAACTCAAACGCCGGTCATAGTGATAGTGTGGGCCGCCATAACAGCCGATGGTCGCTCTTCACTCGTGTTAATCGACCCTAAGAATAAATGCCGAATATTATCGCGAAAATATTCTTGAGGATGTATTAAAGCCTTGGGCACGCAAACATTTCAACCGCAAATCTTGGACATTCCAACAGGACTCAGCACAATCGCACTCAGCACGCGTCTAAAAGTCGAAGTCGACTTTTGATCTTTGAGAAAATCGCAAAGTCGTCTTTTCAAGATCAACTATCGATTTTCGCCATAAATGCTTTGTTTATTATCACAAAGCCGAAATTGCCCAACGATTACACATTCCAGAACTTTATTTCATCTGTTGACAACAATTCTTATAAAATATTAAATTTTTAGTCGTTTATGCTGCAGTTAGTAAAAGTCGCAAATCGATTTTGAATAATCGAAAGATCGAAAAGTCGACTTTTTAATCAAAGGCTAAAATCGAAAGGTCTAAAAAATTGACTTTTTGGCCAGAGTCAAAAATCGAAAAGTCTAAATCGTCTTTTACTTTCGACTACGTATCCCTATGAGCAGCTTTCGGGAAGCGAGTGACTTGGTCATTGGTCGTTTGAAGGTGACCAATTCGAGCAAACCTAAACCTATTCTAAAATTTGATGCTATCTTCGACATGTTTTGCTTTCATTCAATAAAATTAAAACAAACAAAATATGTAAAAATTATGGCATTGACTTTGTTATATATATATATATATATATGGGCAATATTGCCAATTTTTTAATATTCCATTTTCAAAAAATCAGCTTTTTGTAGAGAAAAATGTTCTGACTGCGAAACCGTTCGCGATCAAATTTTTGGTTGATGCGCGCAAAAGTTATCGAGGTTTTAATTTTGGGTATAAGAAAAAAATCTTAAAATTACGCCGTTTATTATATTGACCAAAAACGTTGATATATATCTTCCTCTGCAAAATAAGAATATGAATATATAATAATCACGATAAAGTTGCACATATTCGCGAAATATGAGAAAAATAAAAAAATGTCAGATTACATCAATATTTTCATTATATGAATGACATACACACACCTAAAAAATAATCTAAACACCATGATGAATCAAATGATATCAAAATCACACAAGTCCGTGTAGCGGTTTCTAAATCACAGCGACAACAAAACAAGATATTGAGGAAAAATATCTGTTTTTGGTTCAAAAAAATAATGTCATCATATTTATTTTTTTAATTTTATACAAGAAATTTCAGAAAAAAATGTTGGAGTTATTCTGCTATTTTACCCGAATTTCGCCGAAAAATTGACATACATAATAATCACTTTTTGTGTATAAGTATACGCCTTGCGGATTATATCAAGACCCTTCCGATAAATCTTAGAATTCTATAAATAGGAATAAATCTTAAAATAAAATAATATTATGAAATATACAATTTAAATTGCGTCTAAATCGCGTAATTCTCAAAATCATTTGATGCGATCGGTTTCCCAAAACTAACTTTTCTTCCAATCCATATACATATATTTTGCGAAATTTCATTTGACGGCTAAGATGTGCCACACGTTACATTGAAGTACCCAAAAAATCGTAAAACGCGAATAATTTCCGGAAACTCCATATGTCAGTAACGCGCATTCGATTTCGGTGTGCGCCCTAAAGAAATACATCTATCTATACCGATTTCAATGTGGTCCATTAAGAACCATGGATGTGCCAGCACAATATATTTTTGAGATAAATTGCGTACGTCTCTCTTTCGGCTGAAGTTTTTAAAGTTCTCTTTTCGAAAAAGATCAAAATCCGTATGAGGTCATTTACTGAAGCGGAAATGATACACAGAAAACGCAAATAAATCCGCGATATTTTCAAAAACATTTTTTGCCAAATAGTCCCGCCGTTCTAGTAGATGGATTTTCACGAAGAAGATTTTATATCATCCGAAACGTAAAAAACCGTATTGATCGCGGGTACCCATATCATTCAGTTGACAGATCTAAAAATTTGGCCTGAAAAATAGGTTTGTTAGAAATTTGATCGCACAAAATTCGCACCTTCGGATGAGTATTACTCTGAAGCTGTGCATATCAAATTACGCAGATTCGCGACTACAATAATCTTATAATCGATTTTTAGAAATTCCTGTTTGCGTATTAAAGCTAGAAGTAAAATTAAAAAAAAAAAAAAAAATACTCAAAATCGAGCTTCAAAATGTCAGCATCATTTAAAGGTAGATGCAGTGAAAATTTTGAAAAATGATACCACAGTCCCCATTTTGTTGGCTTCTAGTTTTATTTTGACACGAAGACCGTGCAATTTTTCACAAATCGATAGAGAACATTAAAAAACTGGTTCGCCTCAACGTGTTTTTACACATTTTTTTACATTAAAGTAGACACAGCTTCCACCAAAATAAAGTTTGGATGTCAATATCATGAACAGTTTGCAACGACAGATCAATTAACCCAAAACTATTCACTTTTTTTCATATACTTAAGTAGTTCCCGAGTTATAAAGCTAGACAATCCTATTGAAATTGGAGAAAATCGGTTCAGATTTAGATATAGCTTCCATATACATTTTCGTTGGTTTTTTTTTTTTTAAATGGTGCATCAAACACCCAATATTTGTTCGATTGACACAAAATTGTTTACAGCGTACATAATTGGGTCCATATTAATGTATACGAAGTTTTGTGAAAATCGGTTCATATTTAGATATAGTTTCCAAATATAGTTTCGTCCGATTTTACGGAAATGGTGCACCAAACCCCATATATCTTTCCGATTGAGACGCAATTTTGCACAGCGTACTGAATTAAGTCTAGTTTAATTTCTGTGGAGTTCATTCGATTAAACGAAATTTGGCAGAGGTGATTTTAGAGTGATGTTTATTAAAGGTGCTAAAATCGGATTAGATTTAAATGTAGCTCCGATATATGTTTTCGTCCGATTTTATGTAAATGGTGCACCGATGAGCCTACGTCTCTTCGATATACACGAGATAAAATTGGGGACAGTACTTCAAATCTCACAGAATACGTTTATGCTAAAAATAATGTAAAACAATCCAATTCAATTGACCTAAATATCTTAAAATGTGTTTAAATTCGTCGTCTAAACAGTAGTACGGCGATTCCACAGTCCACTTCAATTGGCATTGTATAATTGCTAGAGAATTTTTCAATGTACTTAAATTGTACTCACATTGTTCTCGCCTACGATTTATTATTCTTAAAGACACTTGACAACCTCAAAGAAAATATCATAAAAGAAAACACAAGAAAATATTATAATCACAAAAAAAAAATGTTGAATATAAACAATAAATTTCTATGAAAAAAAAATATAAAAAACAACCTCTATAACAACAACAAACTGTAAACGAAGCAAAATATGCCTCAAACCCAAACAACTAACTGCAAAACAATTTCTGTGTAATCGAACCAGCCATCGTCAATCGACGACCACTGCGAATATTAGCAGAGTTTAGAGATGGGAATAAGATGGGAATAAAATTGAAAAAAAAAACTGTTCACTTTGACCATTAATTCACTTGCATTGCACAGCCGGCATTGGTACTTTAACATTTAACGTTTCTCTTAAAAACGCTGGACGGCCGGAATGGTTCATTCACACAGGTATTATTACCATTGTTTGGTATTATTCGTTCAATATCTGGATACATATGTATGTATTCGATTGTTTGCAAATAGTATTTGTACATTTGTAATTTAAATATAACTAATTGACCCAACAAACGTTATGTAGCCTTAGCTATTTTGTGAACGAAGAATTTTGAAGAATAAAATATTAAATGATTGGCCAATATTCCACCCCACCGCAAACATTCAAATTTCATGTTTATAGTAATCAAAAATTGCAAATTTGCATCTGTAATACACATCACTCTAAACTCATGTTAATATGCTCTGCCAAATTTCATTTAAATCGAACAAACACGGGCTTTAGGGTGCATCATTTACATAAAATCTGACGAAAATATATAAGACCTATATCTAAATCTGAACCGATTTCAACAAACCATAACACAGATCGTTCTTGCCTCAATCACATTCGTTATGCAAAATTTTGTCTCAATCGGACAAATATTGGGAGTGCGGTGGACTATTTACAAAAATTGGACAAAACTATATGCGAGCTATATCTAATTCTGAACCGATTTCGCAAAATTACGCATACATCATTCTGGACATAATTCTGTACGCTGTGCAAAATGTTGTCTCAATCGGACAATATTGGCAGTTTAGTTCATCATTCACATAAAATTGCATGATATGGGAGCTATCAAAATCTAAACCGATTTCAACAAAACTTTGCATACATCAATCTGGACCTAATCCTGTAAATTTTGTGCCAATAGGCCTAAATTTCATTTACATTTGGTGTTCCATTTACATAAAATCGGGAGCTCTACCTAAAACTGATCCGATTTCAAAAAAACTTCACATACATAAATCTGGACCTAATTAGTACATTGTGCAAATCGGACCAATATTGGCAGTATGGTGCTCCATTTACATGAAATCGAACGAAACTATATATGGCAGCTATACCTAAATCTGAACCGATTTCAACAAAATTTGGCGTATATCAATCTAGACTTAATTCAATACTCTGTGCAAAATTTCGTCTCAATCGGACCAATATTGGGAGTTTGGTGTACCATTTACAAAAAATCGGACGAAACTATATATGGGAGCTATATCTAAATCTGAACCGATTTTCTCCAATTTCATTAATTTTCGAACCTTACGTTTTAGTTTTTTATCTCGTTATCCACTGTTGTTCAAATTGCTAAATCATCTTATCCGGTTGAAAAAACCCCCAAGAACCCCCAAATACCGAAAATTTGAGAGCAGCCTTTTAT